TAATCGGATATTTAATTTTATAGCTTCCGAACTGCTGTTAACTCGTAATTTTGATCAATTACAATCATGATATCCGGAACACCAGACATATTTTTAACACCATTCAATTGTGAACGTAATTTAGTTAATTCTTTACGTAACGAAGCAGATTCTTTTTTTGGCAAGGTTGGAAAAATCGTTTCTTCTTGTGCCTCAAGCGTATGCAAAGTTTGGATACGCCCTTTTACAGTCTGCCAATTGGTCAATAAACCACCATACCATCGATGATTAATATAAAAAGAATCTGCACGTAAGGCTTCTTCTTTTATTAATTCTGCAGCTTGGGGTTTCGTGCCGACAAATAAAAAAGTTTTGCCTTGCTCGGCAGCTAATTGTACAAAATCACAAGCTTCTTGTAAAAGTTGCGATGTTTGAACTAAATCCAAAATATGGATTCCATTTCTTTCCATATAAATATATGGGAACATCTTAGGATTCCAACGAGGTGTTTTGTGTCCAAAGTGAACACCTGCTTTTAAAAGTTGGGCTATTTTAATCTCAGCCATAGGGGTTTCTTATAAATATAATTTATAAATATATCATACCATATTAGGAGTAATTATTTTAGTCTAAACGCACATTTAACATTGAGGTACTATTAAAAGCTTTAAACCCTGTACCAGCAGGAATCAAACGTCCTAAAATAACGTTCTCTTTTAACCCTCTTAACCATTCAACTTTCCCTTCAACTGCCGCCTGTGTCAAAATACGCGTTGTTTCTTGGAAACTTGCGGCCGAAATGAAACTTTCGGTTAATAAAGACACTTTCGTAATTCCTAATAGTACGGGTTCGTATTCAATCATTGGTTTTTTCGTCAAATGGAACGCCCGATTCACGTATTGAACTTGTTCAAATTCTATGAATTCCCCAACGGGGAACGTAGTTTCACTTGTGTATTTCAGAATTTTAACTTTTGAAGTAATTTGACGGACAATTATTTCAACATGCTTATCTGAAATATAAATACCTTGGGAACGGTAAACATCCTGCACAAGATTTAATAATAAAATTTGGATACTTGTTACACTTCGCTTTGTTGCTTTTTCAAGTTCATAAAACGAACGATAATACTGGAAATAAACATTTAAAACATTATGTGGGTGAATTAAACGTGTATCTACTGGTTGCGCAACCCTAACAAGCTCACCTT